GATTCGCATCTAGGAGTGTTTTTAAAATTGATCATGGTGACTTCTCAGCAGTCTTTTGCACGGACAGCCAATGGCAATGGATCAGTTCACATCGGGGCAGCAGCATTATCATGAGCATTAATTGTACTTTAAAAGTACTCACAACAGCAGCAGTAGCGGAAGTATCAGTAGTAGATGTAATAGCAACAGCAGCAGCAGTAGTAGCAATAGCAGCAGAAGTAGTAGCAACAGCTGCAGAAGTAGTAGCAACAGAAGCAGCAATAATAATAGTCTAAAGAGAATAAAATGTAAACGCCTTTTAATAATAATCGAATATGGTATAATTTTAATGTACCATAGCTTTTGTGGTTTCATTTTAAACAGCCCTACATAAATGTAACAAACGTTTAACCACAAAGACACTTGGAAAAGTGCTGGACACACGATTACTATTAACATGCCAGCTGCTTTATTCTTTATGCACAGAACAAATCTATATTAATAAAAATGTTAATTTTTTGAGTTTGTTAGCTCTAAACTCGGAAACTACTGAACAGATTGCTTTCAAATTTTCACACAACGTTGCGTCTGACTCACAGCGTATTTTTTTTTTTTTTTTTTGTCATAAAATCGCACAAACCAAATAGCTCCAGCAACGGTAAAATCATTATTTGTTTCGCTGCCGGTCCGGATTTGTTTTTAGGCGGTTGGCCACCTTTGACTGTGTAACACCAAACTTTACATTTTTATTATATACTTTCATTTCTACCTAAAGGTTAAGTATGTAGTAGCGCAGTTAGTTGTAAGCATTTCACCATTTTACACAGGTGATAGGGGTTCGATTCCCCGCTGGGTAATATAATTTTTTCTTTTGGGCCCTAAATAGGTGGCTGCCACGTTTTGTTGTGGTTTATAGCTAGGCGACAATATCTACGCTTTTTTCCCCGTTCGATTTTGGGGTTTACAGCTAGCCTGCTATAGCGGCGACGTGATGCTCAATGTACATGTCACGAGTAATATTCGTTCGACCTTGACAGGGCGGTTTGCACGTTGTGTTGTGGTGTGGTATACAGCTAGGCTTCGATATCTGACCTAAAGTCGTCAGTAGTAGAGTTGTAAATATTTCGCCCTTCACGTGGATGACCGGTGTTCGATTCCCCGTTGGGTGCTAATTTTTCTTTTTCCCCTACAGGAGTCTTGGCACGTTGTGTTGTGGTTTACAGCTAAGTTGCGACATCTGCTCCTTATGCCCAGCGCCAACTCCTTTGGCTAGAACGACCTGTACAGACAGTAGTGACCGTTTTGTGTTGTTGTTGTGACGGTGGTGGTAGTGGTAGCAGTAGTACTGGTACTGGATGGGTGATGTGATAGCTTATTATACTGGCCACATTTACTTCTCATTACACATTAATGCTATCCATCTGTCTCTGGGTGGACACGGAGGCAAAGCTTAATTTCCCAAACCTTCGGCGAGGATTATATGATTAGTGGGGATGGGGTGGGGGTTGATGGAAGACACTGTTAACTGAGAGAGCTTAAAACATTATTTTAAAGATATCATTTCTTAACTATTTCTATTTTAATAATTTCGCCAAATGATGATTTTTTATTCCTTCGGAGAGGGACATATTATTGGGGGGGGGGTGGGTGGGGGGGGGGGGGGGGGGGGGGATTATTCCAGACACTGTTAGCTGAGAGAGCTTAAAACATTATTTTCAAGTTCTCATTTCTTAACTATTTCTATTTTAATACTTTCGCCAGGGATGATTTTTCAGTCTTTCGGAGAGGGAGACATGACTGGGTGGTGGGGAGAGGGAAGGGGGGTGAGAATTATGACAGACATAACAGCTAGGGAACAGCTAGTACATATATAAAGTAATAACGTGTTGAGATAAAGACAACATTTGTTGTTGTTTTTGAAAAATATGTACGAGCGTTTTGGACTTTAAACACATAATAATTAAACCCCCCCCCCCCCCCCCCCCCCCCCCCAGACACACACAAGCACTTGCATAAGCACTCGCATAAGCAAACATACCTATACCTGGTACACGAAAATAAGAAAGTACATGTTTTGTAACATAATGATGTTCTGATCAGATGTTGTGCTTTGCATGGGGGGGGGGGGGGGGGGGGTAATATCATGTAAGTCCGAAAACGCTACACACAGCTTATTTTAAAGTGCTTGTCTTTAATCCAAATATGTACTTAATACTTCTCAAACATTTTAATGTCTTTCACATTTTTCTCTCAGTATGCAAAAGCTTTCCATTCATTTCTTGACTCGGAAACATCAAACATCACCTCACATTCATCATCATATATACAGATCTAAACGTTACACCGGGTATTACTTAATGTAGTCGATATGAATACCCCAGTTTATACCTTTTGGGGGTTGAACATGGTATCTGGGCTTTTGCCTGTTGGATTACCATCCAAGTTGTGTTTATTGAAGACTTTTAGATGTGGTGAAACCTTAGAGTAGTAAGCAGCCTTGAGAGAGGCTGAAATGAGTTCAGAACAGTCATCGCAGCACTTGGGGTATTCTGACGAGCTTCCCATTTTCCCCAGATCATGCTGATCTGCTTGTTTTTCAGCACTGCTCACTCGCCCTCAAATGGCCTTGGCAGAATCTAGCGTGTCAAGCATCGGTTTACCACCAAGTGGTGAAGAATAAGTCAGTCTATGTATTTGGTAATTCTAGAAATACACGAGTGTCCTAGAGAAAGTATCCAAAGCGGGTTGACTACTTGGGACCTCGAAAGCGATGCCTGCCACACTGCTCGGGGAATACCTGTCACCACCTTTCTCAACATGCTTTGTGGGCCTCTTATAATCACGATATGTGTATGCAACTCGTTTTCAAGCCTGGACAGGTGGCAGGGACGGTCTCCATTCTCGAACTAGATGTCGTTGTGTAGCCTGGGAAAGAAAAACATGAATACGGAAAGCCGTCTCCAAATTTATTAGAACACCGTACTTCGATTTTAAACCAAATACTCTTTAAAGTAGAGGCCGAGAATATTCTTGACAGTTTTTAGTCATGTCGCGGATAATACACAGTGTTTGAGGTCACCAGATGTGAAGAACCCGGACTTTCCAGGTCAGTTGTTAGATACACGGCCAGCTCCAGATTTACAGCCGGACGTGGTTAGATACTTAACGATGTTCTACCTGTCCTGGCGCTGCGAGGCATTCCAGGATTAGAGAAAAGACGAAGATGATAATGATCACGACGACGAAGAAGAGGTTAACATATAAAACTTTTCCTGAGATATAAACAAATTACAAATATATGTGTCTTAAAATATGTAACCAGATTTCTTCATCACTTTCAGACAACAAGTAAAAGAAAAAATAACACAGCTTGCGGTACTGGTTTAATAATGCCAATAATATTACCCAGTTTGAAGAAGAAAGGCAGCAAGAGGGACTATGAGAAGTAAAGAGGAATTTCGTTATTGAGCCACACTGAAAAATATTTATAAGATCCTTGAAAAAAAAAAAAAGACTACACCCTATCATCGAACCACAACCTAGAACAGATAGGATTTCGGAAGAACAGAAATTGTACTGCTGCAAAATTTACACAGACAATTAGTTGAAAAGACGGTATAATTCGATAAAGAATTACACGTCGCATTCGTAGGCCAACAGAAAGTTTTCGATAGAGTTATTATGAATACATTATGAATTACAGAGTAAAATGGACACCTTGCTAAACTGTGCAAGAGTTTAAACGGTAACATTCAATGCGCAGTTCGAAAAAATACAGGAATGTCAGAAAAGTTCGCCATTAGATCTGGGAGTGAGACAGGGGTGCGTTATATCACGACTACTGTTCATCACATTCTTAGACCAAATTTGCACACACAAAAACAGTTTAGGGGAATTGGAGGATTATTAACTAAACTGCATTTCGTCGATAACCAGGTAATCATAACACCAGCTGCTGTACAACTACAAGAACATATTAACAGACTCCACCCAGAATGTGAGAACTATAATATGAAGATCAACGTAGACAAAACAGAAGAGATGACATTCTTCAGGAAAAAAAAAGAAAAAAAAAGAACCACCAGTATCAGAATTGATGAAAGCAGTTGTCAGATGACAGAGCAGTGAAAACTGTACACACAAGGAAGATAGATGGTCGTAGATCACCAGGCAGGCCAAGAAGACGATGGAGAGATAATGTTCAGACAGACCAGCAAACACTTGGTATCACCAACTGGAAAGAAAAGGCCAACTAGAGAGATGAGTGAAGGTGGGTGATATTTGCAGCAATGAACCTCAAGGGCTCCGAATGCTGAAGAAGTTAAAGCAGTCGAAGGATTTTACATTAACTTGGGAGTATTTTTTTTTCAGAAGATGGAAGAATAAAAAAGAAATCCAACAAGGATGCAATAAATCCAATCAAGTTTTATCAATGAAGCAATCCAGCAAAGATGCAATAAAGCCAATTAAATTTTAGGCCAAATGGTACCAATAATAATGTCTAACATAGACACTTTCTTCGGAAGGCAGAAGGAAAATAGTTACGACAGAAATTAAATGCTTACATTCTATGCTAGGTATAACGAGGAAAGATTGACTTAGGAACGACGATATCAAGAGGAGAGTCGGCACAGAACCAATACTGAACTTCATAGCTAGACAACACGTCGAATAGTTTGGCCCTGTAACAAGACTGGCATCACACAGGTCACCAGAGAGCAACATTATACAGATACAGCGGTAACAGATCCAGAGGTCGACCGTGCAGAATATGGACCACAGGAAATATCATACACAGTGAAAAGTACTTTATACAAAGAGAACAGAAGGGCCCGTTCCAGAAATCTCTTCCTACTCTGTAGCCAAGAGGCATTCCGTGAATAGAGGAAAGAAGAATTGTACGTGGAGCATACAAATAATTTTTTGAACAGACGTACTGCCGATCTAGGCGTAACAAAAAATTGTGATGTTATCACGTTAAGTCCGAAAATCTTACATATAACTTATTTTAAGGCGTTCGTCTATAATCCAAATATGTACTTGATACTTCTCACGACAACATTAATATCCTTCAAATTTATCTCAATATTCAAAAGTTTTCCATCTATTTCTTGACCAAGCGATGAAAGATTATTCTTCTGATTCTCCACCTCCTTGAATTTTTCAGCTAAAAGATTTTCAAGGGCACTTATGTTTTGCTTGACCTCTCGAGTAAATCGGAAATGTCTATTGGCGATGTTGTCGTTCAGCGAAGACATGTTTAAACGGACAGTTGCCATCTCTGTGTGGAAGTCAGATTTTAGTTTAGCTAGCCTGCTATCAACTGTACTAACGTTGTTGACAATTCTCACAAGCGACTCCATAATGAGTCTAGTGGACAATAAATTGGTAGAACTTCCCACGTCTTTATTGGCTAGTGAGAATCTTCCCATGATTTCTGTTTTAAAATTGGATACTTCATCTATTACTTGGTGAAACATGGAGGAAACATTTGATTCGAAGTGTTGACACCGAATTTGTGACTCTAAGAAACGTTGCAGAGATGCATTTATCACATTTTCAGTGTTGGTAATTCGATCAGTAACAAAAACTTCAGTTTTTTTCATCTGACGTTCTGCCTGGAGAAATCTACCATTAACATTTCTCTTAATATCATCAGTGGAGTTGGCAACCGTCTCGGCTAAAGATCTGAGTGTAACGTCAACGTTTGTGTTCAGTAAAACCTCCAACTTATTCAACTTGAAATCAGTACTGTCCATACGCGTTTGCAGGTCTCCCACAATCAAACCTTCAATTCGAAGCAAACGTTCGTTCATCGTTGTGACTGCAGACACGATTTCAGACGTTACATTTTGCACTTGTTCGCTTAACTTGGCTACCTCAGCCGCTATTAATGTTTTCATATTTTCAAGTGAATCCGAAACTTGGTGGCCGGATTCTACTTGTTTTACTGCCATATGCATTTGTTTCTCAGCTGTTACCACCATTCCTTTTCCATTATGGTTTATGTATCTCAGTTCGCACATAAAGGCACCGGACATACAACTAAAGACCGCATCTTTCAGGTGAACGATGAGTTCTCCTTCTTTGGACAAGAGTTCTCCCTTAGCGTAGACTCGTTCGGATTCATCTCCCAGTATGTGGACGTCTGCGTCAAAGAAAGATATACTTGCAAGAGGTTTCTCGCCTTTTTGATTGATGTTCCTCTCAGAAATAACTAGTGAAATGATCTGGCGTATATCTTCTGCTTCCCGATCGTCTCCCCTTACTTCACATCTCAGAATGGCACATACATCGTGCGACGAATTCCTCAAAATGTCGAAAACTAGAGCTGGGAAATAATATAAAATAATAACAAAGATTAAAAAAATATCGAAAATTGCAACAACACTGTACTCTTTCTTATTTTATCTATCTATCTATCTATCTATCTATCTATCTATCTATCTATCTATCTATCTATCTATCTATCTATCTATCTATCTATCTATCTATCTATCTATCTATCTATCTATCTATCTATCTATCTATCTATCTATCTATCTATCTATCTATCTATCTATCTATCTATCTATCTATCTATCTGTCTGTCTGTCTGTCTGTCTGTCTGTCTGTCTGTCTGTCTGTCTGTCTGTCTGTCTGTCTGTCTGTCTGTCTGTCTGTCTGTCTGTCTGTCTGTCTGTCTGTCTGTCTGTCTGTCTGTCTGTCTGTCTGTCTGTCTGTCTGTCTGTCTGTCTGTCTGTCTGTCTGTCTGTCTGTCTGTCTGTCTGTCTGTCTGTCTGTCTGTCTGTCTGTCTGTCTGTCTGTCTGTCTGTCTGTCTGTCTGTCTGTCTGTCTGTCTGTCTGTCTGTCTGTCTGTCTGTCTGTCTGTCTGTCTGTCTATCTATCTGTCTATCTATCTATCTATCTGTCTATCTATCCTATCTATCTATCCTATCTATCTATCTATCTATCTATCTATCTATCTATCTATCTATCTATCTATCTATCTATCTATCTATCTATCTATCTATCTATCTATCTATCTATCTATCTATCTATCTATCTATCTATCTATCTATCTATCTATCTATCTATCTATCTATCTATCTATCTATCTATCTATCTATCTATCTATCTATCTATCTATCTATCTATCTATCTATCTATCTATCTATCTATCTATCTATCTATCTATCTATCTATCTATCTATCTATCTATCTATCTATCTATCTATCTATCTATCTATCTATCTATCTATCTATCTATCTATCTATCTATCTATCTATCTATCTTGCCTGTCTGTCTGTCTGCCTGCCTGTCCACCTCTTATATTGTGAACACAGAGATGCAGTTTGTTGACAATAGCATAAGTTGCATCCTTTCTATCTCAGTTCGAATTAGAAATCAATCGTTAAAAAAAAAAAATGGGGAGGGGTAAAAAAGGGGATGACACTTACTAGAAAAGGTTGCAAGTTATCTGCACTTATAACATTATATGTCTTATTGAAATTTTATGAGTGCTGACTGTGATCACCATCATCATGTCCTGTGCTGTCATGTTACGCCATCTCACACGATCAACAGAATCACGGATCAGTTCAATGTGTTTGTCTCTTACCATTCATCTGGCTAGGCCATCCAGGTATTTACCTTTCTGTCTTCCCTGTGCTCTCTTTCAATCAGTCGTGCCAGTTATTACCAAGTTCTTGGCCCCACTCCTTCTTATAATAAGACCCACAAATACTGTATAGTGTAATTGTTCTAATAAGTTAACGACTTTCATCTGTCTCAGTGAAGACTGGTTCGTTTCAGCCTTCTCCCCTTCCATGATATTCTGCCAATGCCCTTTGTGAACAAGCAACGAAATCAGTAGAGAAACAAGATTATTATGGCCTGGAGAGAATGAGGCACCTGGGTGTAACCAGAGGGTCTCCCCGGCTCACTACACTCAGAGGAAAGGCACGACGGAAAAATAACCAGATTGTGACCGGTACCATCAGTACTGGAACTCTGCGTTGGCTGCTGAAGAAGAGGACGGAGCACGCGTGGGAATGCCCCGAGTGCCGTGATGTCAATTCTTGACTCAACTCAGCTCAATTCAATTCTATGATATTCTCTATATAATTTTCAAAAACCCCATCTCTGCAGCAAGCAAATTTTTTTTTATAGACTGCCTGTCTATTCTCCGTACTCTATAAGCATAGAACAACATAGGTTCTATTTAACACCTTATTACTCTTTTTCTCACTGCAAATGACATCTTTTTTATTGATAAGAATCTTTTGTATCTTGCTAAAGGCAAGATCCATTCCCGGGATCCTTGTTCTTATTCCTGCAAGGCATCTTGCATCAGATGTTGTGTCTGTTCCTAAAAATTGCATCTAATAACCTGATATTATTACCTGTTATAGCTAATTGTTACATATTATTCTGATACAAGCATTCACATATTATTGTGCAACGATTCAGAAAAAAAGTGAGGTGAGGGACAAGCAGAGTAAAGATGAGGAGGAAGAAAAGAAGATGATGCTGATGACAATGATGATGATGATGATGATGATGATGATGCAGAGGAGAAGCAGTAGCAGAATTAATAATAACAATACAATAATAATAACTAGAAGAAGAAAAATGAGTTGTAGTAGTAGTAGTAGTAGTAGTAGTAGTAGTAGTAGTAGTAGTAGTAGTAGTAGTAGTAGTAGTAGTAGTAGTAGTAGTAGTAGTAGTAGTAGTAGTAGTAGTAGTAGTAGTAGTAGTAGCAGCAGCAGCAGCAGCAGCAGTAGTAGTAGTAGTAGTAGTAGTAGTAGTAGTAGTAGTAGTAGTAGTAGTAGTAGTAGTAGAAGAAGAAGAAGAAGAAGAAGAAGAAGAAGAAGAAGAAGAAGAAGAAGAAGAAGAAGAAGAAGAAGAAGAAGAAGAAGAAGAGGGGGAAAGAGGATGAGAGGAGAAGGAAAAAAAAGCAGAATGGCAGAGCAGAGGAGGAAAAAAGTAAATACAGAGGGAGAAGAGGAGGAGGTAGCGATGGTGATCAGTCCCCTGCGGTAGATTTTCTCATTATGATGCAAGTCTTTGAAATGCCACTTCTAATAATAGCTTCACGCTGTCGGATCAACATTTCAAATTCTATTCTCATTTCGCTTTTTATACACCCCCCCCCCCCACTCCCCCCTCCACCCTCCGCCCTTTTTTAAGGTGCCGCCTGATGCGACTGCTTCTCTGTATCATAGCAAGGCACGGCACTGGTGGTGGAGGAGAAGGAAGAGGATGCAGAAAGCCAAAGATGAGACGATTATAAATATAACCCTTGCATAATTAACCTTGAACTTACATTGAACTCCCAAGAAACCGAAAGTGACACAAATCCAGCCATTGAACAACCGCAATGACGTCATGACGCAGCTGCCTCAGACTTGTTCAACAATAGATCAAACATTTGACAGTCCAATGCCTCTTCTTTAGTTTGCTCTTGCAGAACGACTCATTGGTGCAAGACCTAGTAATATCATATAGACAAGATTAATTTACTAGAAGTACTTATTAGCATATTCAGAATGGCATAGAAGATGGGAAAAAATTGAACGAAACACCACATTTACTCACACACTGCTCCACACTGGCTTTTGCCTGGGGCCCTGAATATAGCCGGGGCATAACTATGGCCTAGCCATAGATATGGCATACCGGTTGAAAAGGGTTTCTGGGACCTCTTCATGGGTGATCCTCATCCGTATGGTAGCCCTTTGTGTCACCGGGTGTTTATCGCCTGTGTGATGTCCTGGTGGGGTACAACAATTGACCGACCGAAGATGTGTTTTATAGACCAATGATGAGAATACCCTGGACATATAAAATGAGTAATAAAGACTTCTGAACAAAAAAAAAAAAAATATTCACGACGATAACTGACTGCCTACATCAGAAGGAGGCAATCTACATTCTTTGGTCATGTCATGTGACAGTAGGAAAGTGGAGGAGAGAGAGAGAGAGAGAGAGAGAGAGAGAGAGAGAGAGAGAGAGAGAGAGAGAGAGAGAGAGAGAGAGAGAGAGAGAGACAGAGAGAGAGAGCGACAGAGAGAAGATGATGGAAAGTTCGACATCATGGCATGGAAGATAATATGTACTGATTGAAAATACATGAGACAGAAGGTTGTAGAAAGACATGACTACCAAAGCTAGGCTTTAAGAAGAAGACTGGACTACTGGATACTTTGTGTTCCTCTGTCTTTCTGCTTCTATCTATGAGTGCCAATGATAACATGGTCTGTTAGTTTAATATATATATATATATAAAACATTACAACTGCCTCAAGTGTTCTCTGCCCGATTACATGTGTTGGTTACTTTGCAGCCGTTTTTGTGCCTTAGTATTACTGTGCTAAATGGCTATATTGTTGAACTAGGCTTCCAGAATTCGCACTTCTCTGATTCTAATGATAGCGGTGGTAATCCTAAATACTGCAGTACTAGAGGGGACACAACTGAAGAAAAACAAAATATTCTTATTATTATCATCAAGTGTCTCGCCGATTTTTTTTTTTTTTTTAAATATCTAGAAACCATGAGTTTTTAACCCTTTGGCTCGGTACTATGGATATCGCAACCCTGCGGCCTTGATTCCATGATAAATACAGTAAATCTGGGAGAAATTTGGCTTTTCTGCCTACCCTCGGGCGTGAACCCGGACCACAAGGAGTTTGTCAGCCGGTCGTCGCGAAGTCAGGTTTAGCCAACTACGCTAGCGAGCCGGGCACCTTGCCGATTAGGGTGGGCGATCATTCCTCTCCACAACCTGCCATCTCCAACAGCATTAAACAGCTGATTGGCTGACGCCATACCACAACAAAAGGTTGTCCAGAATATTCTAACGCTGTCTGCCTTTCTCTCTTTATCCACAAATATTTCTACTGCACATACCATGTTTCAGTTTCCTTCTTCTAATAACATGAATAAAAATGATGACAGTCTACTTCTACTGTCTGTGATAAGTTGTCTTTGAGCTCCAGCCTCTATCAAAGCATATGAGGTGTTCACTTAGCTGTTCGATAAGTTTTAAGCAATCTTCTGTAAAACCACATCTCTGAAGCCTTAGGAAATATGTAGGTTTTTTCTTTTTAATTTTAATTGTTTAAATTTTAAACTACCTCTAAATATCATAAAATAATTATTTGTCTAACCCCAACTACATGGATTTATTGCATAAGATGTTCTTCATTGCAACATCATACACAATATCAAACGTCCACATCTATAGGAGTACCATAGTTTGTTAATACCCTTTAATATAATGTCTCGGCTCCATCAAAGTCGCTAGTTTGGGGCCCGACAAGTTAGACATTTTCCTGCCTTCTGAAAGTGTCGCTAGTTTGGGGCCCGACAAGTTAGACATTTCCCTGCCTTCTGAAAGTGTCGCTAGTTTGGGGCCCGACAAGTTAGACATTTCCCTGCCTTCTGAAAGTGTCGCTAGTTTGGGGCCCGACAAGTTAGACATTTCCCTGCCTTCTGAAAGTGTCGCTAGTTTGGGGCCCGACAAGTTAGACATTTCCCTGCCTTCTGAAAGTGTCGCTAGTTTGGGTCCCGACAAGTTAGACATTTCCCTGCCTTCTGAAAGTGTCGTTAAATAAGTACTTCTTCTTCAGCATTTCGAGCCCTTGAAGTTCATAGCTGCAGATATCACCTGCTTCCACTCATCTCTCTGGTTGGCCTTCTTTTTCCAGTTGGTAACACCAAGTGTTTGTAGGTCTGTCTGAACATTATTTCTCCATCGTCTTCTTGGTCGGCCTCGTGGTCTACGACTATTCAGCTTCCTTGTGTATAGAGTTTTTACCTCTCTGTCATTTGGCATTCTCTCAATATGCCCAAACCATTTCAGTTTATTAGCTCTCATGATGCCAGTGATCAATGGTGATTCTGTGCTAGCGGGAAGAAAGGAGGAGGAGAAACAGAGGAAGGGGAGATAAAAAGGAAAACTGTGATTAGAACAAAAGTAATAGTTCCCCGCTAAACAACAGAAACAGGAAAGTAAAGAAAAGACAGGGGTTCTTCTGCGCAGAGATCCTAGAATATTTAACCAGTACCCAAACAATGAATATATGTATCGTTTGTTACACGACGACGACCTAACTATATGGGTACATACACCTAGACGAACCACGGACTACAGATCCTACAGTAAGTCAAGGAAATGAATGATAGTCACATTAAACAGCTGTTTATTTTACTTAACATAACATCAGCGTGGTCCACAAAAAACATTAACAGCAACCAACTTGCTCGACTAGAATCTAAAGTACTGACTATCTCCAGCTAACAAGTAACTATGGTAATTACACCATACGCTCAGCGAGATTACTTCAACAATGTCAAAACCGAAACATAATTAACATGTACGTAAGCTTCAATATGCTAACAAATAACTTATAGCGACCTGCCATCAAACTACCTCCTAGAGAGAAAACAAAATGGAAATCAAATCTACCACCACCTAACCAAATGAAACGTACCGCGAGATCAGCCAGGAAATTGTAGACAAAATCAGCCATTTGTAGACTGGATATAGTTTCGTCGCCCAGCTTCTGAGTTGAATGCATGGCGTGACCATGTGAGCTGCTGATTTCATTTGGAATGTATTTTCGACTGTGACCAACGTTGTGGTGTGAATTGTAGATTCAGAAAATTGCGCGATACCTGTCGTGCAATGCTGGCGGGGCCCGTATTAAAATTGATCGCGCGGGCAACTGCTGATCTGTTGGCGACAAGTTCTGCTATCATCAATGATGAACTGCATTTCTAATGTTGGACTGTTTGTGTTAGCACTTCGGATGGCTACCATATGCTTTAATGCGAGTGTATGCTAGATTTGCTGAGACAGCAGTCTGTCAATCTTTCCACAAGGGACTGTGATAGACATTCTGAGTGTTTTTAGCTGGCACAGGAGCGGAGCAAAGATGGGGCGACCCGTTTGCTATGAAGCTGAAACTAAGACTACCATACCATACCATACCATACCATACCATACCATACCATACCATACCATACCATACCATACCATACCATACCATACCATACCATACCATACCATACCATACCAGCCAGGAAAATCACTCAGACAACGGCCTTCCCCTGCGGTCGCCATACCCACGCTGACGAGCCCTAAATACAGAGCTACAACAGCTGGGTAGGTCTCCACAGGGTCAGTCCGAAAGTCAAATGGATCGATGAAAAACTAAACAGTCTTTTATACCCAGTGGCCAGATTTTTTTCCGCTTTTTACTGTCTTTAACTAAAAGCTGTTCCTGTGGCCTCTTTGTCATTTTTAAGCCAGATTAAATAAAAATCGTTGAGCTGCTGAACAGTAAGTAGTCTTCCAGCCTTTACAATCCAAACAGATTATGCATTTTGTTGTTGCTTCTCACTCTCTATTACCTGCTGTTTGCATCTTTGATATTTAGTCAGTACATTAAGTGGTAAGTAAATTGAGTAAGTACATCAACTACCTATATAAGAAGTACATCAACTACCTATATAAGCACAACTTTAAATATATGTTCAATATTATAACACCATGGTCACTTACCTATCACATATATGTTGTCATGATTGCAAGCTGTTATATCTGGTTAATTACTTTATCGTAAACGCACCAAAGCCAATGTCCACTTGATTTCCTTCAATGTTTTAGTTTTCGAGAGTATTATTTTGCCGAGTCTCCTTCTTTGATTTCTCAGACGACTATGATAGTTTCCGAGAGCATCATTTTGCTGAGTCTCCTTGTTTGATTTCTCAGATGACTATGATATCAGAACTACCAAGAACCTGCTGTTTTGTAAAAATGAAGGAAAACAATAGGAAGTCAGGACAAGAATAGAATCAAGGAAGGACTGCTACCGTATAGCTATTTTTTTTTTTTTAATAACAATAAAAAAGGCATGACGTAAAATCAGAGGCGTTGTTTTGTTTGGAAACGTATATTCTTTGGGTATTTAAAGAAAAAAAAAAAAGGAGCATCTCGTAACAGAAGGTGATCTGTAGGAGAAACGAGACAGAGGCGAAAAGAGGGGATGTCAGACAGCATGGAAGCAGAGCTAACAAAGTTGGTGCTTTCGTACAGATGTGGAACTATTTGACTCTTGCCGAGCAAAGCTATATTTTTCGTCCATAAGCTTATCAGCCATCTCCTTGTGAAATGCAATTTTTTTTTTTTTGTTATTTTAAAGCCCCGCCTTGGTTCATGCCAGGGGGCGCGATATAGCCCGCCCATAAATATGGTGTAATGGCTGAACGCGGTTTCTGGGACCTCTCCACGGGTGATCCTCATCCACATGATGGCACTTTGTGTCATCGGGTGTTTATTACTTATGTGATGTCCTAGTGGGGTAAAAATCTAATACTACTA